GTAGGGGCACAGAGTAGTTGATAAGGACATGCCATGCAAGTGAAGAAAAGGGGATGTAACCATGTATTCTACAACTCATGGTTGTATAACGGAAAGGAATGAGAACACCACGGACAGGGGTCAGATGCACCGTGCCTCCACAACCCCACCATACCTATGCTCCCATGCCAACGCACTCTATTAGACAGGTGGAAACTGGATATAGACCTCAATAAAAGAAACATCCTCAACTAAGTGAAATTATTCTAAATAAACTGGTAAATCCATAACTTGACTCAGATTTAGTCTTTACTTGAAATAGAAATAATCATAATAATTCGAACATCTGGGTCTCTTAGTGAAAAAGGTAATTGTAGAAATTGTTCATCATTAATACATTTACTACCTTGCGGATAAGGTGGGAAATAGCATATTACATCACACCCTAGATAGATACCAAGACAAGTATAACAAATAAATACAAGATAACCTAAAATATGCATGAGATATCTTGGCACAGGAAAAGAGTATAGAAATTAAAAGGAGAAAACCAGTCACTTTGAGTATTGATGCATGGAGAAATGTCACAGAAGAAGAGGAATAATTTAACACGGTCTTAAGGTACGAGAATGGTTCATATAAGTAGGGTGAACATAGAAGAGTATTTTATATGGGAAAATGAATGAACAAGTATAACAGTAAGGCATTCCCAAAGCATGCCTAGAAGAAAATAAGAAAATCAGTTTACATAAAGTAAAATAAGAATAATAAAGACTAGTGTGAGAAAATAAAAGAATGAATTCTACTTGGTGAATGACTCAATATAAGGACAAAGCAGAAAAAGTATAAGGCATAACAGATGAATCAAGTTTTGAGTTTGGGGACTGAGAATTGTGGTTTTAAAGACGGAATTAGGAAAACCAGTGCAGAACTACTTTGATGAGTTTGAGGTGACAACATAACATCCTCGGGGAAATGATGAGCAAGCAGCTACAGATATGAAACTGGATCTCAGTGGAGAAGCAGAAAGGGAAGTGTGAATTTGAGACTTATCAGTACGAAGATAATCACTAAGGCCTGTGAGTGGGTGAATGGCTGAAGTGAGGCAATTAGAAAGATGAGGTAGAGAAGTAAGAAGTGTCCACAAAGAAAGCAAAGAAGGAGCAGTCAGGGAGTTAGAATGTGCATATTATCCCAAGAGCAGAGTAAGAGAAATGCAAGAGAAAATGATCCACTGTGTCTATTGGTACAGAAGAATAAAAGAGAGAAAGGACTGAGGAAATTCGGCTGAATTGCTGACAACCAGTTTACCTTTGAAAGAGCAATTTCAGTAGAGTGATAGAGGTGAAAGTCAGAAGCTTCCAAAACTGCACTAAAAAGTGAGTTTATAGAAAGGGAATGGAGACAGTGGCTATTGACCACTTTGAGAGAAAGAAACTTTTGAAACTGATAGATTTGCAGCATCATGAAGGAAAAGGATGAAGTGCTCCTTTAGTATTGTTTTATTTTGTTTTTTTAGGCTTCTGCATATAAAGGGGAGGCATTCAATGGAGAAAGAATGGAAGAAGATTTAGGGGAGTAGAAGGAATGACAATTCCAGAAAGCTTAGTGATAATAAGATCTTACTTGTATATGTTTTTGTTATCTTCAGGCACTTTTACACCTATTTGTCAATTTTATTTTCATAATATTCTAATAAGGGAGGTATTATTATCATTTCCATTTTAAAAATGAGTAAATGGAGGCATTCAGAGGCTAAATGACTTGCCTAACATGACCACCTAAAAAGGGTTGGATAAAGAAATAAACTCAGACAAAGAGACTAGTATCATCCTCTTACCCACTGGGCTATCTCACTTTCAAGGATTAAAGAATTTTTGCAACGTATTCATCTGACAAAGGGCTAATATCCAAAATCTACAAGGAACTTAAACAAATTTACAAGGAAAAAAAAACATCAAAAAGTAGGTGAAGGATCTGAACAGACACTTCTCAAAAGAAGACATTTATGCAACCAGAAACATGAAACAAAGCTCATCATCATTGGTCATTAGAGAAATGCAAATCAATATCACAATGAGATATCATCTCACGTCAGTTAGAATGGTGATAATTAAAAAGTCAGGAAACAACAGATGCTGGAGAGGACGTAGAGAAATAGAAACACATTTACACTGCTGTTGGGAGTAGGAAGTGTAAATTAGTTCAACTATTGTGGAAGACAGTATGGCGATGCCTGAAAGATCTAGAACATTTGACCCAGCAATCCATTACTGGGTATATACCCAAAGGATTATAAATCATTCTACTATAAAGACACATGCACATGTATGTTCATTGTGGCACTGTTCACAATAGCAAAGACTTGGAACCAACCCAAATGCCCATCAGTGACAGACTGGATAAAGAAAATACGACACATATACACCGTGGAATATTATGCAGCCATAAAAAGGATGAGTTCATGTCCTTTGCAGGGACGTAGATAAATCTGGAAATCATCATTCTCAGAAAACTAACACAGGAACAGAAAACCAAACACTACATGTTCTCACTCATTACTGGGAGTTGAACAATGAAAACCCATGGACACAGGGAGAGGAACATCACACACTAGGGCCTGTCAGAAGGTGGGGGGCTGGGCAGGGCAGCACTAGGAGAAATAGCTAATATAGATGATGGGTTGATTGGTGCAGCAAACCACCATGGCACGCGTCTATGTAACAAACCTGCATGTTCTGCACATGTATCCCAGAACTGAAAGTATAATAAAAAAAGAAAAGAAAGCAATAGGAATGACTTTCTTCATGAGGCTGCAAGGAAGTAAAGAAGGCAGTTTTACTGTTTTATTCCAGGGTGAAAAGAAAGTACTTGAGCATCCTTATAAGATATGATGCACCCAGTTATAAACTTCCATCTTGAAAGTAAAAAAGTGAGGGAGGGATTAGGGTGAAGACTTAGGACCTGAGGAATTTGATGAAAATTTAGAAGAGTGCTCACTGCAGACTCAGCAAAAGAAGAATAAAACCTGTTGAACACCTACTGTAGCCCAGTTGAAGAGGAACTCTAAAGATTGGTAAGACAAGTTAAGCATGTTCTCCAGAGGGAAGGCTGGGAAGATTTCAGTTTGGAGATAAGCCAGTAGGTGAAACTGTAAAGTCAGACTTGGGAATGATGTTAGGGTATTGGAGAAAAGTTAATTTAGATAATAGATTGTGTCTTACAATTAAAGACATTAAGTTATTTCAAGTAAAAAGAAAAAATCCTGATAAATTATTATATTATTCACCCAACATAGATATCAAATTGGTAACTGATATATACTTTAATAAGACAATACAGATTCAAGACTAAGCAATTGAATGGAATCATTTAAAATGTTGTATTACAATCTTATTATTATTACTATTATTATTTCGGTTATGAATGGTTTTTTATTCAGTATCACTAAATCTCACACTCAGAAAGACAAAATCTATTATGAGGATTGCATGAACTGAAAATAGATTTCCAATTTCACACAGCTATTGTTCTTCTCAGTCTGACCAAGCAAAGGCTGAAATATGGATGAAATACAGTCTATCCTTGCTGAACAGTCCAGAAACCATTAAAATATCAAAAAATGAGCTATAGCATGTAATTGATATCTATAAATCATAACCTTAATATAGATGACAATTTATAAGAAAATGGTAACATTATTATCAGAATTATTAACTCAAATAACTAAATGGATTTCATGGCTATTGGCAAATATTAAATCAGAAAGAATTTCAAATAATATAAAATCATTTTTAAAATATTATACTTTATCTCATATACTTATTTTCTAGAACAAGAGTGGGACACAAAGTTCAGAAAAATGTCATATTGAATGTTTCCCTAAAATATTTATTGGCAAAAAAAAAATGGATATTTTAAAATCTGTTTAATTCAAAATTGATCATTAGTTGTTATAGAAGCTATTAAATTTAAAAATCTATTTTTCCTTATATAATAGTGCTTGCTTTTTAGATGATTGTTTGCATTTAGACAGGGTTTATTAACATTTTTTTCCTTTAAAAAATGTCTCAGGCTCTAAGGGCTATTATCCAGCTATATTCTGAAAGATAATCTTGATTGATTTCTAAGTATAGAGATATATTTAATTGGATATAGATTACTTGTAGAATAAATGCTTTGAAACGGGATTTTGAATTTTACAAAAAGATTTAATTAAAGTTTAACCAGTAAATTATTTTAGGAAATTTTCAGAGTCTGAGCATATGTACCAGTGAGGATGCCCTTATGGTAATACACCGAAGAGCAAAGGGAATTTATATGTAAGCTCCATGTAGTTTATTTTAACTGCTTGTTCCTAGAAAACATTTATGATTGAATTCCAAAGTCAACTATAAATATTTTTACTTGTTTTATATCATACATACACAGACAGACAGAAAGACACACACACACACACACACACACACACATTTCAGGTGCAAAACACTTCATTATTTTTTACACATTCCATTATTATACACAATGAAGTGCATAGGTACACTTTAAAGTAAAATGTGAATATTATTTTGTAGATACCCACAGTAATGTTGTCTTTTTTTTTTTTTTTTTTTTTTTTTGCCCATTGACTGTAATTGTAAGTGCCTTCTCATCAAGACACTGCAATTTAAAGAAGGTTTTTTAGGAATACTGAACTAAGACTAGAATATAAATTAAGGGCATTTTGTGAGATTTTGAAAAATGTCTTGCAATTTCACCCATAGGGAAGAACATGAAACAATAAAGAATACAGATCAGGGAATTACTTTGGAAAATAAAATAAAATTTTATTATTTCCCAAGGTCTATTATCTGCTTGTAAGATAATGTGCTTTCACACAAATACTTAATATTCTTAATACATTCAAATAATTAATATTTAAATATTCCTAACATATACGTTTCCTCCACATTTAAGTTTTAATAGTCAAGCATAATGAAGGATCACAGCACAGAGTAATTTCCATTTTGGAGAGTTCTCACCTTGTTGCACACGTTGTGACTGAGGAGGGTGTGAGAATCCTCCTGTTCATCACTCAGGGAGAAGGACAGATGACTGAAAGGTCCTGGGGCAAGACAGTCACCATGTGAGAGGGTCTGTGGATGCAGCAGGGACTTAGCAGGAGGATAGAGTTTAGTCTGATATAAAGGATGGAGCGAGACAGGCTTGGGAAGGACTGTCATACCCTGGGGGGAAGAAGAAAGGCACAAGAGGATGTTAGTGTAAAACAGTCAAGCACCCTTGGAATCAGGTCTATGATAGACATAGGTCAGAATCTCTTACCAGTAAGAAGAAAACCTCTTCTCACTAGGAGGTGTCCCTCATGAGACACCTGCTTTCAACGTGTATGGTGTATCTCTTTCAAAAATTCCTTTCAGTCCCCCACTCCAGACTCTTCTGTGGAACAAAACAAATGCCTGCAGAATGTCTCCTGAAGGGCATTGGGTTTATTTTTGAAAGTATTAAGAGGAGATATGTATAGGGAAGAAGAGAATACATCCAAAAGAAGTAGGTTGGGGTTAGAAACATCCTCATGAAAGAGGTAGGTAGTTATGGAAATTAATTAAGATGCTTGTGATCTGGTCTGGAAGAAATCAGGAAGTCAAGAGGAGGGTACTGTGGAGAGTATTAACATATGAGCGGGCCGGGCTTGGTGGCTCAAGCCTGTAATCCCAGCACTTTGGGAGGCCGAGGCGGGTGGATCACGAGGTCAAGAGATCGAGACCATCCTGGTCAACATGGTGAAACCCCATCTCTACTAAAAATACAAAAAATTAGCTGGGCGTGGTGGTGCGTGCCTGTAATCCCAGCTATTCAGGAGGCTGAGGCAGGAGAATTGCCTGAACCCAGGAGGCAAAGGTTGCAGTGAGCAGAGATCACGCCATTGCACTCCAGCCTGGGTAACAAGAGCAAAACTCCACCTCAAAAACAAAACAAAACAAAAAAAACATATGAGCGGAGAGGCAGAAGTACAAGGTTTAGTTCATGACATAGTGTGTTTCAGAGCTGAGTTTGTCATGGATAAAGAATCAGGGAGAGGCGAGTCTGTAAAGTATGAATGAGGTCTTCAGTTCTAGGCAATATGTTGTTTTAGAGAAAAACTAGTGGTGTAACAAAAAGAAGAGTTCAACTGCAAAGAGGGGAGGTTATGAGGCCTTAACTAGAGTGGGTCTTTAACATGGAAAAAGGATGAATGACTTTGAGGAAGGAGGAGCCACAGCATGAGGCCATGAATTATGTGAACGGAACAAGGAAATCAAAAAAGTAAGAAATCTTGAGGCTACAAAGAAAAGTTGCAGAAAAAGCCTGCATACAGGTATATATCTTCTACAAATCAAGCAAATACAAATATATATTTTATTTTACACACACAGCACATGCATACATTAATTATTTTAAAAAGACAGCATCTAGCAAAGACATGGAATCAATCCAACTGCCTATCAATGATAGACTAGATCAAGAAAATGTGGTACATATACACCATGGAATACTATGTGGCCATATAAAGGAAAACAATCATGTTCTTTGCAGAGACATGGATGGAGCTGGAAGCCATTATCCTCAGCAAACTAATGCAGGAACAGAAAAACTAAACATCACATGTTCTCCCTTATAAATGGGAGATGAAAAATAAAAACACATGGCATATGGTCAGGGAACAACACCCACTGGGGCTTGTCGGGGGTTGTGGGAGGAGGGAGAGCATCAGGAAGAATAACCAATGAATGCTGGACTTAATACCTAGGTGACGGGTTGATCGGTGCAGTAAACTACCATGAGGCACATGTTTACCTACGTAACAAACCTACACATCCTGCACATGCACCCTGGAACTTAAAAGAAAAAAAATTTTAATTTAAAAAATTAAAAAGATAACATCCTTTTTACAGTATTCTCTGTCTTATTTGTTTGACTTTTTTATTTGACAATTTTGGAATTTTTCTGTCTCAGTACATGAAAGCTATTTATTTTCTACCAAGACAGGTTACTGAGTTATCTTACTGATTGTAATTGTTGTTCAGTTGATTCTCTTAGACTTTCTGAGTCTATCACCAAAAAAATCAAATCACCTAACACAGTGATAAACTTACCTGCTCTTTGCCAGTTATTATAGTTTTCATTTCTTCCTTTTGTATAATTTAATTGGTTATTGCCTCTAACATTGTTAAATGAAAGCCATGTCAGTGGGTGGCTTTAATGGAACACATGCAGTACTTGTCCATTTAAGATGATTCTTATAATTTTATTTCTAAATCAAACACTTCATTGTTTTACCAGGTAAGTAAATGAATTATTAATCAGTGTGAAAGTGATTAACATGACAACTGAGTAGCAAACACAAGACTAGCTATGTGAGAAAAGGACAGTGTTGTAATTGACAGTTGAAGGTGCTTAGGACAAGGTGGTCAGAACAGTCTCTGGTTTATATTCAGCCTTCAGTTTTTTTTTTGGAGCGTGTAAAAATCAATTCTCAGGTTGTCAGGGGTCAAGCACATGGTGATCCATGGGCAGCAACAGGTTCACCAAATGCGGTTTTCTGGAGTAATTAAGTTCTATCCAATCAAGAGAAAAATGTTTGCAGAGAGTGTGCTACTCTGTGTTTTGTTCTTCTAAGTTCACTTTTGCCAATCTCCAGCCCTTAGGAGTAGGTCAAACTTGAATGCTTCTGTAGGCTCTGGTTTTGTCCTCACTTTATCCAGGCAGCTGGGCAGGGAGGGAGAGCAGAATCTTATCAATACTTGGACTGGCAGAAGAGAGCTAAGAATTTAGGCCAAGCTCAACTTGAGTATCATCAGTTGGTAATACAATACAAAGGAGAAAGGATTGTTGGTAGTGACAACCTTCATATGCATGTTTCGATCTGTGCTAGTTGCCTTCTATGTTTGTAGAAATTATTATCCTGTGATCCTCTTTAGCAAAATCCTGGGTACTTCTTAAATAGCTTTTACCTTACCTTCCTTTTTTCAGCTACTATTTCTTTACCTTCCCTTCAGAGGTGTCAAGGACCTCCAAATCCTAAGCCTTCTGAGAGCTCTAAGATAGAAATGGTACTTGGCTTTCTCCCTGGCCAGCCTAGGATTTAGCTTTCTTGGGTCGCTATGTCAGTTTTTCCTCATCAGGATATTTTTCAGCCTTTAAAATGTTATTGCTGTGTCTCCTCTTCTTACTTCCCATACTTGTAGATTATATCTTTAAAATACATCTTTACAATAACTTTAAGGGAATATTGGGAAGGAACATATTTCGAGGTATTGTTCAATCCACCATCCCTTACTGAAAGTCCTTAAGAGTTTTGTTTTGTTTAATAAAGATGGCACTTAAAGTCTAAGAAGATAATTACATTATTTTCCCCTTACATTAAATCCCACTTAGTAAGGACACAGCATTCTTTAACGTTCCACTGAGTTGTGTTTCCTATAAAATTGAGACATCTCCATGAATATTTATAACTGAGTTTGGGCTGAGGTTTTCTGCTCGTGCAACTTCTGTTGGGTTTTATAACAATGTGACACTTGCTACATAAAATCATTTAGAAGATATCCTTGCATTACAATAGTCTATAGCTATCTGCTGTCAGGGTTGCAGTCATGCACTGCATAATGAAACAATGAACTGCATACATACAATGGTGGTCCCATGAAATTATACCACATTTTTACTGAATCTTTTCTATGTTTAGATATGCTTAGATACAGAAATACCATTGTGTGACAGTTGCCTACAGTATTCAGTACAGTATGGTGCTGTACAGGTTTGTAGTCTAGAAGCAATAGGTTATACTATAGCCTATAGCCTAGGTGTGTAGTAGACTATACCATCTAGGTTTGTGTAAGGTACAATCTATGATGCTCGCACACAAAAGAAATGCCCTAACTAGTACAACCACTATGCAAAACAGTGTGAAGATTCCTTAAAGAGGTAAAAGTAAAACTACCATTTGATCCAGCAATCTCATTACTGGGTATCTACTCTGAGGAAAAAAAGTGATTTTCCAAAAGATACTTGCACATGCATGTTTATATCAGCAAAATTCACAACTGCAAAATCGTGGAACCAACCCAAATGTCCATCAATCAATGAGTGGATAAAGAAACTGTGGTATATACACACTGTATATGATGGAATACCACTCAGTCATAAAAAGGAATGAAGTAACAGCATTTGCAATGATCTGGATGACATTGGAGACTATTATTCTTAGTGAAGTAACTCAGGAATAGAAAATCAAACATCAGTATGTTCTCACTGATATGTGGAAGCTAAGCTATGAGGACACAAAGGCATAAGAATGATACAATGGACTGTGGGGACTTGGCGGGGAAGAGTGAGAGGGGAGTAAGGGATAAGAGACAACAATATAGTACAGTGTATACTGCTCAGGTGATGGGAGCACCAGGATCTCACAAATCACCGGTAAAGTACTTACTCATGTAACCAAATACCACATGTATCCCAACAACTTATGTAAACACAAAATCAAATAATAATAATAATAGGAAAATTCCCCTAAGGATGGATTTCTCAGAATGTACTCCCATCATTAAGCAATACATAACTGTGTTTGTTCCATAAAAGATTGTTAGAATTTCCCCATGAATCTATTTGTGACCTTCCCTGTGAATTGATTTGTGACCTGAAGCTTTTGGGGGGTAACTTTTCACTTTTTCTTTTTTTTTTTTTTCAGTTTTTCTTCTGGTAATTGATTTACCGGAGTAACCTTTTCCAGAAAAATTGTATTTTTGCTATAAAGTATTAATTTCCTGTGGATTCCAAATTCACTTGCATAAGGGTAAGAGAAGCAGTGTTATATTTTGTGTCCTCTATATTGTTAGTTATTTTCATGTTTATTTCTTATTTTGTATTTTATCTTTTCTCCCTTTTTATTGATCTGTTTAGCTAACAGTTTGCTATTTTACACTTTATTCAAGGAATACATTTTATTATATTTATGAGTTCTACAACTGTTTTTCTTTCTAGTTATTTATCTTTTTCTAATTCTATAAACTCCTTTTGCTTTTGCAAAGAATAAGGATTTTCTCCTTAAATAACATTTCCTCTAAATAATTGTCTTATTTATGTTTATAAATTTTCCAAATCTAATGCTTACTTGATTGACCTTTATTACTCTTCTTAGATATTTATTAAGCATTTCTACATTACACATTTCCTTTCAAGGACTATT